GGGAAAAAAAGGGGGAGAAGAATTTATTAAATGCTCTTAAATGAGTGATTCCTAAGCAGATACGATGACAGGTTTACTCTGGGTGTGGGCTGCTCTTCTTTACACATTTCTCACTTCCTTTTTAGAAATGCTTCCAAAAACGTGAAGACACACAGGAAACATATCGAAGAGCTCAGTTAATACCACCATCCATCCCTGACACTGGAGGCCCAGGCAGTGAATGGCCTTGTTAAACACTGTCCAGCAGGGCATTTCTTAACCCCAGGGCTTAGGTTTACAAAGGGTCCTATAACCATTAATCTCCTAACTTAAATGGAAAGTATGCAGCAGACAATGGGATTGAAGAAATAGCTGTCCTAATAGGAAAAAGCAGTGTGACGGACCAGTGAAAATGTAACACCATTCCTGCTATGGAGACTGGGGAACCTTCTGCTGGGCTTCCTGACAGCGTCCTGGTGATGCAGGATGCTTTATAGGGAATGTGCATTTGATGCAAATTGTTTCTGAGAATTGAAAAGATCTCTCACTCACAATGTGTATTGAGGGAAGATGACAGGTTTGTAGTGATCCTCCTGTTCATAAACAAATGGAGATCGGGCCGTAGAAAAATAACATCTGCAGTTTATGACAGTGTCAGCTAAGTGAGCAGGCAGCGTTTTGGTTAACACAGAACACAATGGTGAGAAAGTTTGTGTTTATGTATCTAACACAAGCTACGTGTATCTGAAAAGAGCATTTAGAATAGCCGATGGGTGGGCGGGGGGAGACTGTGAGTGACAGGCAGCGCAGCAGAGGTGAGAGCAGTAGACCACGTCAGGGTTCACACAGCCGTTCTGCCCCTTCCTGACTTGTGAGACTGCCTTTTCCCCCTCCCTGGGTGACTTCTAATGTCCCTCTGTCTCTCTAATTCTGTTATTGTAATAACTCGTTAATGTTCATTTATCAGGCTTCACTCAGATGATTCATGAGAATGCTAGAAAAACCTACGACATTTGATTTCCTGAGTTTAGAAGAGTACCTGCTTATTCAGCTGAATGGAATCCTATTGGGAACAAACAGAGACATAAATAAGGTAAACTGACAATCGCAGGTATGCCAGAAACCGTAACTGCATTTGAACAGGAGGCAGCGAGCTATTGTTTCCAACTGCAGAAGGTCAAATGCATGTTCTGCTGTTAGCGTCCAGAACTGGGTAGGTATCTTTGTGGCCGTCCTAGCAACCCATGCTAATAACTATCCCAAGATCCACCCCCCACCACAATGCAAAAATAATTGAAGGGAGCATAAGGAACACCGTATAGCATAAATAAAAGTGAACATTTAGAATAAGAAAATAAAACTAAAGATGAGGATATAAAACAAACCAGGAGTGGGGTTCTAATAAATCACCACAATGACCTGTCTTGCAGTTGCTTCTGGTAAAACTCAGATTTGGCATTAGGCTTTTCAGCATCCAACGTGAAAGAAATCCTACTCGATCAGTTACATAATTCATAGAGACAGAAGATGAAAGTAAAGTTCAGCAGAAATGTAGTTGTGTGTGGTTGTAAGGAGCTTCAAGTTCCTCCTCGGGGACTCTTCATCAAGAATAACTATGCCAACAGCAGGCCCAGTAACTTTCCTCAAAACAGGCGCAGTGGTTGGGCACACAGTGCTGGTCCTCACTTCAAGACGACCGCGTCACAGCCAAGCAGATGTATCATATAGCATGATGGGTAGAGGAAGAGACTTCATTCCATACTGCCTGAGTTCAAATCCCAGCTCTGCCATTGACTAGCTATGTGACCCTGGGCATGTTATTCCAGCCACCTTGGGTGCCTCAGTTTCCCTGTGAGGTGTGGATAACAGTAGCAATTTGCAAAGATTAAGTGAGGTAATAAGCACTGTGCAGTGTTGCCACTTTATCAATAAAAGAGATCAGTAAAAGCATTGGGGTGGGCATTGCTATAATACAGTTCATTATGTAGCTCTCTACTGACCCGACGGTAATAGAGACCAGAGCCCAAGGTAGACTTTCGAACACTGCTGTCCAAAAGAGCTTCCTGTGGAAGTGAATGTCACATACCTGTGCTGTCCCAAACAATAGCTTCTTGCAGCTACTGAACACTAGAAATGTGGCTGGTTTTGTTTTAGAATGTAAATTGGAGTTAGGTTTTAGGCTCAGATAACTGTGCTAATGAATTGAATTTCTAACTTGATCACTTTAAATAGCTACAAGTGACAAGTGGCTGCCACACTGGGCAGCCCAGATGCAGAAATTTTCCATCATTGTAGAAAGCTAGATTGGATGGTGCTGCTCTAAAACTTTTTCCAAGTAATACTCTCTAAGTATTGTTATCAGCTGAGCTTTTGGTGAGTATCAGACAAGGACCTCCAGGTTGTATTCCTGGAATAACTGGAGTGCGGTCAAGCCTCTGTTGCTAGGAGAGGGCACACCCACGTGCCCTGGGCTGCAGAGCTGCCCATTTGTGACGTGCGAAGTCCAAGCACGAGTGACTGAACAGGATGCCAATCTCACCTGTTCTGAGGGATGCCAATGGCGTGTCCATGGGAGGGCCAAGGTCCCTGGAAAATTCTTTTGAATCTACTTCCAAGCACAAAGGAATGAACTTGATCCCAAAGTTCTACTTCACCTAACACAGCTGCAATTGTTTCAGCCTGAACAGTTTTAAAGAGTGGTTCAACCAGACGCTGGCCTCTTCTCTCCCCCAGGTCACTCTGAGAAGTTCTACGTCCTGGTATACCCTCCAAGATAACCTATTCGGAAAAGTTACCCCAGGATGACTGAATATATGAGGCCCAGACAAAAGTGAGTAACAATTGCTGAAATCAATAAAATAATTCCATATAAATCACATAATAGAAAGGCAAAATAAAGGGAAAATAGTTGATAAGAAAGTGCGTGTTATAATCTGTTAATGCTTAGCCAGCCGCACGAGAGGAAACAATGAAGTCTTCGGTACCTACCCATGGAGGGATGTTGTCTGTGCTACTGGTCACACTCAGCTGTGTCATCGGTACCTATCCACAGAGTGACACTGTTTTACTATCAGTCACACTCAGCTATCATCCGTAGCATGCTGTTATTAAGATGTTTTGAAACAAGTACAATTTCTAGTCAAGTTTTGAACAAAACAAAGTGGAATCTTCCCTCAATGATCTCAGGATTGTATTGTTGGAAAATTCAGTCTATATGACAACTGTTTGTTTTAAAATATAAAATGAAATTGGATTTTAGGCTTCAATAACTAAAAGTTTTTTCTTTACCCCATGTGAACGTTTAGCAGAGCATTCGAGAAGTCTGCAGAGTGTAGAACAATTCTTTGTTGTGCTCACCTGTCCCACACACTGTGGAGCATAAATCACCTGTGGCTCCTGCCCACTGACCATCAGCGGTGCCTCTGATCGTGGCTGAAACCCTGGGGCCAAGCCAATCAGATTACACCTGTCAGCTGCAGCCCTGACGATGACTGGTTGGTCAGTCCGGGTCTAATCAACCAGCATGTGCCATTGGCTGGGTTGAGAATAGGAAATGTGATGTAATGTCAGCCAAGGAAAGATAAAAGAAGTTTGCTGGAGGCTTCGAAGGAAAGTTTCCCAGGAGAGAAGAACATGGAAGACAGCCTCTTTCTCCTCCTCCCATAGTTAGAGATGGAAGTGAGGCCTGAGAATGCTGCACTCATTCAACACTAGCTGAAGGAGGAAGCCAGCAAACAGGAGGGCAGGGCCAAAAGCACAGAGGAGCTCAGCTAAATTTGCCTTATGTCATCTTGGGGGTTTACCTCTGGGCTTCCAGTTAGGTAAATCAATAAACTTCCTATGACTTAAGTTGCTTTGAATTTGGATTTGGGTTTCTTGCAGCTCAAAGCCCTTTGACACACACGTAACTTCACAAGTCAAAGGCTGAGGCCTGGCTAAAGCAGCAGCAGCAGCTGACGACTGCCCCTGGGCTTGCGCGCCAAGTGGTAAAACAAGCAGCGTGCTGGTCTGAAGCCTCAGGCCATCAAGGAAAGGAACCACACGGCACAAGCCTGCATGGTTCTTCCATCAGGTGGCAGACAGGTGGTGGAAGAATGACGAGCACAGTTCACACATGCAGCACGTTGAAGGAAACACGTGGAAGGTAAAAGCTATTTCATCTGAAGACAAAAAATGGAGCTACGGGTAACAAAGTAATGCTGTTAGTACTTGTGCACAGAGAGCTCTACGGGCAGCACTGTGGACAGACAGGGTAGTAAAACTGGGCTAAGTTCCTGCCCTCACGGACTTACAATCAAAGAGACAAGTGAAAAATACAACGCGTGCTGAGCACGGTAAACCACGAGGTAAGGGTAAGGGTGCAGGAGGGGGCAGCTGGCTATGGTTAACATGGAGGCTTTTCTTATCATGCCAGGGGTCTGAGCTCGAATTTTAAAGGCTAATAATACCGGAAGGATGTGGGGAAATGGCATATTATGGAAAGAGGAAAAGATAAGTATTTAGGAACAGGAGGGGACATGTTAGTAACATGCTGCTGAGATGGCAGCAGGAGAGGTTCTAGATGGTTCCACTGCCAGATTCATGACAGGCAGTGAGGGGATAAGAGAGAGCTAACTTACAGCTGGGGGGAGAGCCTCAGTCTGGAAGACCTGTTCCACTGTGTCCCAGCTGTCTGGCCCTGGACAAGCACTTACCCCCCTCCCTGTGTCGCCTCCCTCATCTCATAAAAAGGGGAGGTGCGGTGGCGGGGAGGGTGCACCAGGATGAATGAAATGTGGCAGGCCAAATGACTTGTGTAATTGAGAGGTGGTTAATCACTGTAGTTATTTTCACTTTCAAATCTCTAAACAATTCACCCAAATTAGTTTCAGAGCAATTATAAGGAAGACATATAAACTTGATACACCTATTAAACCAGATTTGAAAAAAAAACTCTTAGTTTTTTTACACAGCCAACTGCAACCAGTTTTTTTTAAAAAAAAACCTTAAATTGAAAGAAAAACAATAATATACTAAGAAAATGGATTGTGATTAAGAGATTATAAATACATTTATTGGTACTGTTTCTGAATTCTGAACACAAAGAACAGATACAAAGAAGTGAGAACCTAAAAGGAAACATCTTAAAAAATGCAAAATATGTACATATGTTTAATCAATTTTACTTATCTGTTTAGATTTACAACCAAATGTAAAGCTAATTCCACAGCTTCCATTCTGAATATACTTTGATTTCTAGTATTGTAGTGTTCTCCATTCTAAAATCCACTGTTTTTTCTATATTTACAGCAAGTAAGATTTATTTTATGTCTAACCTAAAAGCAAGACTCTGTGAGCTGATATCGAAGCAGCAAGGTAAATCAGGAATTTAAAACAGCTGTTTAAGAGAGGGTAAAGCCACCTCAGTCCTAGATGTAAAAATGCAAAAGAGAGAATTACAAGAAGCAAAAAGAATCACAGAAATACCAATTCTATTCTAAACTGTAAGTTCTAATTCTAGCAACAATTCGATAAGCAGTAGCTTAGATGTCTTTGTTCTAAAAGATATTACTATTCTTTCATTAGTTTTCTGACTATTTCCAATGAATAATTATCAAGTCTTAATACTCCTTTTCAATAACCTAAGAAGATGATTTATACATAACAGAATCATCAGCAAAAGAGGCCTTCAAACATATTGCTGAATGCTGCAATACAGTTTGGTGGCCAGATTTCAATTTAAATAACATAACCATTCATAAAGCACTTATGACACCCAGCACAATTGTGTTCAGCACTATTAACTCAGAAATACTCCGTCCGTCTTGCTACCAGACAATAACTGACATGGGTGAAACAGTGATGATCCTACAGGGACTCTGACAGGGTTGCACGTCAGAGAAATAACCATGAACTATGACACAATTGTGACAACACGGCAAGGGTGTAAAAGTGAACCTTTCACCATGATAACAGCATTATAAAACTACAGTGACAGTTACATAGCAGAATTATTTCTCCTGCCAACTAGTGAATAGAAAAAGCTTTCTGACTATATATTTAATGAACAGACCATCCTTGAAAAAAACACTAAGGGAAATTGAAAAGTGAACAAAATGAACTCTTCATTTCTTATAGATATTAATAAGTAAAGCAGTTTACAAAAAATTACTCTAAAACAAATAAATATAAGATCAAACCTATCATTTTTGAATAAAATATAGCTCACTTTCAAAAGTTCTACTTGGTTTGTGACTAGATTTGAAAGCGTTAAAATAAACCAAAGAGATTCCAACAATACTGATTTACTATGCAGGATTTGAAAAAAGCACTTCAAGTTTTAAACTGAATGTTTCATTCTCTTGTCTATTCTCAGAGACTGTAAATAAAAAAAGGCTCTTGCAAAAATAAACAAGAACAAAACAAAATCACCAATCAAAACCAATCATAAAAGAAAACCTAAAATTTCTTTTTGAACACTTCACTTTAGCTGGTCCTGTATGAGGGTAAGGTTTCTATAGTAAGGGTTTCCTTTATCTTCCTTTCTTTAGTCACTTCCATGTTTTTATCAAACAAGGCTATGTGTTGCTAAGAAGTCACGTGGAGTTAGAGGTAGCTTTGGGATGCGATATACTTGACTACGCTAAGTAGTTAGTTCAGATGAACACGTCATTCTAAAAGGATTACACTATATAAAACTGCAAAAAGAAAAACATGTACAGCCCTCACTGCCTTGCACGAAAACAAGCTTGAGAAACTGAGAAACACTGGAAGCCAGAACAGGCATGTGCCTCCTCTTCTATGAGCTCCTTTAATGCACCAGTTCAGGCTGGTTTTCCACGAAAGGCAGCACCCCACTCACATAGTAGGCAATGCCGAGAGACAGCAGAGCAATGACGAAGATCAAGAGCAAAACCCTCCAGAAGCCCAGGTCCTCTACAAACTCCTGCCACGTGGTTCGGAAGCTGGACAGGACCCCTTCGCCTTGCTGCAGGTTGGGGTTGAGGAGAGAATGGCTTTCCATGGCGCTGTGAAAAAAGCAAAGAGAAAGTAAGTGGGCATGAAACAACATACTTCACCAATTTTAAAAACATAAAACAACAGGAGCTGTATTTAGAAAAGAGCAACTTTACAACACAATCCTCACAAGAAGAGAACTGACATACGTATGCATATACACCCTCACACACTGTTCTGATTTGTGTACCTGGACAATCTGCCTCCAACTGTAATTGCTAAACCATAATAATTATGCTTCTTGGTTTTGTATCTGGAAGAGTCAAAGATAAAAGTGCTTTTCTAATAAAAAAAGTCCCAAGCAGGAATCTTGAAGTTAGTCAAATGAGTTGTTTCCATCAGATACTAAACCAAAACACATTTGGTTATTTTAAACTTAGAAGAATTCAAAACAAAAAGACTCATAATTTGAGAATTCTTGTTAAAAAAATAAGAGGGGCAAATCTGAAAAATCATTTAATACAGTATGTGAATCTTAAAGTTAAAAGGGGGTTATTTTTTAGTTTAGTAATATGATCAGTGAAAGAGTTCCTTCTTTTAACTGTAATTCTTTAATAATGGAGGCTAACTCCTCAGTCTAACTCCTCCATTTGAACAAGTCTACTCATTAGAAATTCTTTTTAATAGTTTCTTCCCAGTGGCTTTAGTTCTATCTTGTACAATAATACAGAATAAGTTTATTTCTCTTCTGCATAAAGGCTGAGCCTCAGTGAAATAAGCTAACACAAACACCATAAAACCACTGATTCTGGTTTTCAGAACTCTGTCCGGGAGAACTCTGACTGCTATCAGCAGAAAACAGTGTATCTGATTCAGTACCGGAAGGCCTGCACGGCGATGAATTCAAAGCTCAAAGGGATCAACACCCACGAGAGTGTCACACCACCAGGCCCAGTGGCAGGCTATCATTTAGATTAAAGCCACCGTGACCATAATCGCATGTGTCAACCACCTATCGCTTGGAAAAAGTCCGTCTACCCTTCCCTAAACACTTTCTCTTCAAATTCTTACACCTGTCTGGCTGCAGAACAAAACAAACAGCATAAAACAATGTCTTAGAGTCTGGTTCACAATGTAAAGTCAGCAGTTTTCTAAGACCTACAGCTTTAGTTTACTTCTTGACCCTGTTAACCAATGGTCCTTTACTAGTCAGCCTTTGCTAATATTAGAGGTCTTCACTTATTGTGAAAAGCTGACTTCCAAATGGGCCCGTTTGCTTCACAAAGTTTTCTTTTCATATTAAAAGATATTTATTTTCTGAACACAAGAAGACATTTTCAGTGAGAATCTACAACTATAGAAAAATTTAGGAAACTGAAGCACGTTCAAAACTAAGACCAGAACATTGGGAAGGTTTAAACACATAAAACCATAAATAAAGAAGGTCCAAGTTCACTCTGACATAAAATTTGATTATACCCAAGCTGACATGCTTTCATCCTCACAGACATTACATGTAAAATGAGAATGCACTTGAGCTCTCCAGGAGCTCACGACACTCTGCATTTCAGACTTTTCTACAGTGACTCTACTCAGTGAAGTGTTTGCTGCTGCCCACAGAGCACCCGGTTCCAACAGCATGACAGTGTGAGCGTGCATGTGTGGGTTTTTTTGCACGTTTGTCATCTACACTATCTTAGTTACCTTGTACCTACAAATTACACAGGAACTAAATTAAATTTAGGATTATGGGAGATTGGGAAAGTATTTTTCACTAATTTGATGTATATAGACCCTTTAAAGAATTATGCAACAACCCCATGAAAAATGCAACTAAACTACAGAACAACCAATATTCAGAACCGTCAGAAACTGAACTGAATGGAAGTCCTACAACTACAGAATTAAGAAGAAACCACGCTGAGACTGGTGGGAGGGGCGGGGACGTGGAGTGGGCTGGTCCCACACCCACTTGTGGTACGTAAAAATGGGAGGGATATCTCAGGCCCCCAGCCCAGATTTCCAGTGCAAGGAGGTTAAGACCCCATAAATTCTGGCTGTAAAAAACAGTGGGGATTGAGACTGGAAGACAGAAGCTACTGGAATCCCAGGCAGTCCTCTTAAAGGGCTCACACACAGATATATCAGGACTCTCTCCCCCTGAGCTTCAGTACCAGGGCAGCAGATTGAAAGGCATCAGAAACAAACAGGGAGGAACTGAATTGTCTGACATGAGGGCAAGACCTGGAAGGGCAACTTTCTCCCAGACATAAATACTAGACAAGGCCATTTTTCTTTTACTGAGCCCTCCCCCGCCAGAGTCACAGAGCCAGTAGGCAGGAACAATATCTGAGATTCTATCAACCTGGCTCACACTGCCCCACCTGCTGAGTTCCTGAGGCCCTGCCCCACCCAAGTTTCAGGCTCACCAAAGCTGTTTCCAGTGATTTTCCATATAAATGGCTTGTCTTGGCTCATGCTTCAGATTTTCCTAAATTCTCTCAAACAAGTGGTATCTGGCTTCAGCAAGCCCCATACCTCTAGCTAAGTGGCCCCAGGCCCAACACTAGCAGCAGCTGGCCTTGATTCACAGCTTGTCCTCTCCTGGGCACCTCCAAGCCCAGCACAAACAGCAGCCATCTGCAGATCACTTTGTAGATAATGACATGTGACCCCAGACAGAACAGGGGTGGGGGCTACCTTGGACATGACAACAACAATCAAGGCTCAATTATGAGAGGAGGGTGTACACGGCCCACACAGTGGGCACACCTTGAGTACCCAGCTTGGGTAATAAGGAAGGCTGTGCCCTGGACCCTGCAGTACACCTACTACATTAAGCCATTCTATCAAGCCTGGGAGATAGAGTAGCTCTACCTAACACATACAAACACAGGGAAACTGCCAAAATGAGACAAAGAAACATGGTCCAAATGAAAGAACAGGTCAAAAATTCCAGAAAAGAAGCTAAACAAAATGGAGATAAGCAATATATCAGATACATGGTTCAAAACACTGGTTATAAGGATGCTCAAGAAACTTAGTTGAGGACCTCAACAGTATAAAAAAGATCCAGTCAGAAACAAAGGATACACTAATTAAAATAAAGAGCAATCTACAGGGAATCAACAGTAAAGTGGATGACACTGAGAATCAAATCAATGATTTGGAACATAAGGAAGCAAAAAACAACCAATCAGTATAGCAAGAAGAAAAAAGAATCCAAAAAAAACAAGGATAGTGGAAGCAGCCTCTGGGACAACTTCAAGCATTCCAACATTCACATCATAGGGGAGCTGGCAGTAGAGAATGTAAGAAATTGAAAATCTATTTGAAAAAATAAGGAAAGAAAACTTCCATAACTTGGTGAAAGTAACAGATGTACAAGTCCAGGAAGCACAGAGTCCCAAACAAGATAGATGCAAGGAGGCCCACTCTAAGACACATCATAATTAAAATGTCAAAGCTTAACTACAAAGAGAGAATCTTAAAAACAAAGAGAAAAGCAGTTAGTTACCTAGAGGGGAGTTCCCATAAGACGTCAGCTGATTTCTCAAAAGAAACTTTGCAGGGTAGAAGGGATTGGCAAGAAATATTCCAAGTCATGAAAAGCAGGGAACTACAGCCAAGATTGCTCTACCCACCAAAGCTATCATTTAGAATTGAGGGGCAGATAAAAAGCTTCCAGACAAGACAAAAACTGAAGGAGTTCATCATCACCAAACCATTAATATAGGAAATGTTAAAGGGACTTTTTAAAGAAAAAGATGACGATCAAAACTATGAACAATAAAATGTCAAAAAATACGAATCTATGAACAATTGAATCTAAAAAGTAAATAAGAAAAACAGAGACAGAATCATGGAAATGGAGAGCATTTAGATGGTTGCCAGATGGGAGGTAGGTTTGGAGGAATGGGTGAAGAGGTGAGGGGATTAAGAAGTACAAATAGGTAGTTACAAAATAGCCATGGGGATGTAAAGTTCAGTGTAGGAAATGGAGTAGCCAAAGAACTTATACACATGACCCACAGACATGAACAATGATGGGGGGATTGCCTGAGGGAGTGAGGGGTACCGGCTGGGGCGGGGGGGGGGCAAAGGGGAAAAATTGGAACAACTGTAATAGCATAATCAATAAAACATACGTTTAAAAAATATATGAACCTAAAAAAATATACCAAGCAATGTCTCAAAAATAACTAATAAACGAAAGCACATTCTTGGATATTTCTCATGGTAAAAAAAAATAATGAGTAATTTACTACTATTGTTTAGAAAGATGAAAATGAATTTCAAGTTCTTTTGGAAGAACATAACCTGTGACAAATAACAGATAACAATGTTATTAAATTGCTTATGGCATTCGGACAGTAAAACTGGAGAGAAAGTAAGACAAGATTTAACACATACTCAATTCAGTGATGTGAAGGTGCACAGTGATGTGACCCAAAGTACACAGGCGAGAGAAACAGGCTTGCAAATGCATCTTTGACCTTCTGCTTATTTGATCTACTTCTAAGCTTTCAGTGATAACTCAGGGGAAGCAGGCACTGTTCTAGATGTAAAACTCTTTCATATCTTTGGACAGTAATAAATATTTGAAAGTATCTGAACAAAACACTCCTAAGCTCGAGAGTGGAATTAATGGTCCCCAAGGAACACCCCAGGCAGTGCATGAAGAGGAAGGAAAGCAATCATGGGCACAAAGGAACTGAAGTGTGAACGATGAAAAATAGAGAGGGTTTCATTTAGAATTCAAAGCAGCAATGACCCTGATGGTACAGGTGGTCTACAGGATGCTAAATCCGAATTTGATCAATCAGCTACTGGGTCAACAGCTGATGAGGACCTTGAAACATATTCCACTGGAAACTGTGGGGTGAGACTGTAAGAAGCTGATGGCCCCTACCCGGTGTACTTCGGACGGCTGAAACTCCGTGGCAGCCACGAAACTCCATGCTAGCACAACAAAGTCTGGCCTGCTGACTGTATCTGTTGAGCCAGAGGCCAGGAGTAAAAATGGTTTGTCACCTTTTCAGAGCTCTCTGAACGATGTTCTGAACTGCTTTTAGATGAGAAATGATGGGAGATTTATGACTCACTCAATCAGACTCTTAGCCTCACTTAGTTACAGGAGCCCAAATTTTATTTCGTTCCAACTCATGTAAAAGTCACTTTCCCCTGGCTGGCGTAGCTCAGTGGATTGAGCGTGGGCTGTGAACCAAAGTGTCGCAGGTTCGATTCCCAGTCAGGGTACATGCCTGGGTTGCAGGCTGTGACCCCCAGCAACCGCACATTGATGTTTCTCTCTTTCTCTCTCTCTCTCTCTCTCTCTCTCTCTCTCTACCTCCCTCCCTTCCCTCTCTAAAATAAATAAATAAATAAAATCTTTTTAAAAAGTCACTTTCACTTTCACATCATTGAACTGAGTATGTGTTAAATCTTGTCTTACTTTCTCTCCTCTGGTTTTACTTTTCCTCAGCAGTCCGCTTCCCTACCCTCAAAACTACCTTTTTGGTCTTTTCTAATACTGTCTGAACTCTCAGCATTAGTTATCTCTCCCTTCTTGAAATCCCATTCTTTTTGTGACCTGTGCTAAAATCCTCAGACTCCTGTCTCCTTCCCCCATAATCAGCTCTTAACCACCTCTCCTCCCTTGCACTGCCGAAGCAGCGAGTTTCCCTGCACAGAGCATTCTGTGCATGCGGGCACGTAGTACTTCCTGTTAATAGCTTCTCAATTGTAATCTGGAGCCATAGGGACCTACGTGAAGTTCAAAGAAAGTATCAAAGCTTTGTACTTGAAAGCAAATAAATATAAAGCTCACAAAGTTGTTATAAAAGATCCAGGGACTTAAAGTGACTTGCCCATTAAAAAATTGTATCTTAAGTACCTTTCACTCTCAGCTGTCTGCATGGTCTCCAGTTTTGAGTGGGTTCCTCTGTTAAATCCTTTTACTTCCTGTTCTTCCAAAGATTCCAGCAATCGGATGACATCTTTATTCACGCCTCTGCGCTTTGCCAGAACTAAGGGTGTAGCACCTTGATGATTGCTTTAAAAAGGTTATCAAAATAAAGAGGTCATTACAGTAATTGTATTACATCATTGTAATACAGTGAAGAAGGTATAAGACAGTGAAGAAGGTATAAGCCCAATTAAGTTAAAATTAAAATCCAGAGCAGAGCCAATAGTCAAGCTGAAACCTGAATTTTGAATTAACCTATGTTTTTCCTTCTAGGGAAAAAGGAAAAGGAATATATAGGCAAAAGAGTGCATAAATTAGAATAAATAAAAGAAAAAGAGGTCATCTTTCCAGAAATTAATTGGAAAGTCTAATTCTAGATTCATTTTTGTCATTTACATTTTATGGAAAGAATATTTATATATTTTTTAAAAGTCTAAGAATTTTTTTAAAATCTCAAATGCAACCAGATGAGCTACTGCGACTCGCCTAGCTACCTGACACTAACAATGGGACAGAGCCCAGCGGACATCGAGCCCAGCGGACATCGAGCCCTGCAGTCAGTCCCCACCGCGTGCTGTCCTGATGGGGACAGGAGCATTTGCCGTCTTATTCAGAGTCAGGGACAGTACAGGACCAATAAATTCGGACAACATGTAACTGCAGTTTAAAGGTCAAGCTCAGCTTTAACAGTGGCCTGACATCCTTCCCACTCAAGAGAAAAAGCACCTCTAAAATAAACAAAGAGAGCTACTTCTTGAAATTGTTCAGTGCAGAAAGGATTCCGAGCCCCACAGAGAATATGAAGCTAGCATGGAATATCGTATGACAGAAGGCAAGGAAGCTTGGGGATCTGGAGGAACAAGGTTCAAATTTTGGCTACGTGACCTTTGTTAAGTCATTTAACCCTTCTTGTCTCAACTATTTCATCTGTAGAATGAAGATAACAGCTACTGCAAGAACTATTTATTCTGAGGATTGAATGAGCTAACATAAGTAAACACAGTGCCCAACCCATAATAGATGTTCAACAAATTCTAATTCTCCTTTACTGTCTTCATAGGAGAGCTGGCACTGCTTTAGCATGAATCTAGAAGTCAGCCCCTGGTTCCCTTGCTCCCCCTACAAGATCCCACTGTTCTTAATGCCTTGCTAACCGCGTGGCTACAATTGATCAACGAGGAAACAAAATCAATAGACTCCAAGATTAGCCCACTGGTTGAGAGACTAATGGGAAGAAATGACTAGACTTCAAAAACCACAGAGAACTCACCAAATATCAATTTTGAGTCCATTGGAAACTAGGAATTGAATAGTATCCACATGACCGCAGAGATGAAGGGCTGTGTTCCCTTGGTAGTCTGTGGCCAGAAGGTCAGCACCGAACTTATGCAGCAGCTGGCAGATGTCCACGTTCCCGCGGGCCGCTGCAAGGTGAAGGCCCGTTCGGCCCCTGCTGTCGCGAATGTTTGGGTCAAAGCCACTTTCCAAAAGCCTCTTGGAATAGTTAAAGTCTCCGTCAATACAGGCTTGTAGCAAGGGCACATTGGTCTGGGAAGAATCATTTACAAAAACGTAGGACATGGTTCTGGTGTGGTAGATGCCTGCAATGAAACATGAGGAGAATGAGGTTTGGCGAAGGCAGACTAAATCAAGACAATAAAGTCATTTAGAAAAGCACCTTTTGCTATCCTTCCTGGCCCTTGGCCTCTGATAAAGCACCTCACCAAACAGAAACAACCACCACGTTATCAATTACATTTTATTTGCCACTATAACGTCTTAGTTCCTTCATATCTTCTGGGTCAAAATTGCAATTAAATTACTATAAAGCTTTATTTTGCTTTTCATCATATAAAAATACTGAGACATTTTTAGAGTTAAGCAAGCTGTAACTGCTTAGACTGAAGTTTAGTGCATTGTCAGGAAACATAAATACATGATCCTTAGACTTCAAAGAACTACCCACGCACATGCGCAGACGCTACTGCTGACACTCTTGTTTAAACCAAGTAATATATCTCCTTCATATATTTGCTTCTTACCGCATTTGGTATGTTCCATGTGGAAAATAGAGCTATCTGCTCAAAAGTTAACTAAATTAGCATCAAATACAGCAAAACAACACTCAACAAAGCCCCACTAAATGCTGTGTTTATAGCACAAATTTCTAATTTTAACATAAAAAGCTAAGGAAAGCAACGAACTTAATTTAAAAATTACAAATATCACAAAATCAATTCAGATTGCCCATCTTTTTTACAATACTGATCTTCTTCTGCTCTGTTCTACGGTTACCTAAATATCTGACTTTACCAAACTCCCACTGTCTGAAGATGGAGAGATGAGGAAAACCAGGTCTGTCTGGGAGTGGAGAGGCGGGGCAGAGGCAGCAACCCCAACTGTGTCCACGCCAATATTTCATCCACCTGAGTAACGCAGCCTCACCAGTCAGAGTGTCCACATCTCCCTCATCGACACCTCCCTGCCCCAGTGGTCTCTCTGTGTGTCGCCCTCTCTCTCTCTCTCTCTCTCTCTCTGAGCATCTTTTTCTGTGTGCCTCTCTCACTGTCTCTCTGTCTTCCCCCCTCTCTCACTGTCTTTGTCTTCCCCCCTCTCTCTCTGTCTCTCTCTTCCCCCACCTCTCTTGGTTCGTGTAAAAAAATAATCATGACAAATCTTTACTAAGAAACTGAAGAGAAAATAAACCAAAACAAGAAAACACAAAGGCAGAGACTGATGTGTTTATTATGGCGATGACTCCCACTCTAAGGTTACTTGAAGGTTAGCCAGAGATAAGCGTGGCTTGTAATCTATCAGCCTAAATCTTCCTTTCTGGGACTCTATGCAAGACCAAGCTCCTCCTGTGCCTGACCTCAGGGTGTGAGGAAAGCAAGGCTGTGGAGTTCGATGAGACTCTGGGCCCCTCCTCCTCTTAGCCTGGTTTCCCAGCAGAGCCGTGGTCCCTCCAGTCCTGGGCGCCCTTATACTAGAGCTCCGCTGCAGCCCGGGGCTCCGGGGGCAAAGGGGAACAGTAACAGGCACCGAAGGCCTGTGCTGAGCCAGGCATGGCACCAGGGCTTCTTAACTGAGTTTCCTTTAACCCTCCTAACAACTCCATGCTACGCCTTACTGTACCTGAATTCTAGTTATGAGTCACTGGAGGGGGGTAAGCCAAGAAAATGCCACGGTCTCATCATATTATTCTTTGAGAAAGGCTGCTTTGTTGGCAACATGAAGATGCGAGGTTGGAGGGGGTCAAGATCTGAGACAGAGCAATCAATCAGTATGTCACTGTGGAAACCCAGGCAAGAAATGCGGAGAGCCTGACCTCAGACAGTGGCAGAGAGACGGGGCACACTGCTCAGGGACATGGAAGGTAAAATCAGTGCAAATTAATGACCTGTTGCATATAAAGAGTGAGAAGGAGCTGTTAAGGGTAAGTCCAAACAAGGGAAAATCTGCCTATGATTAATTACAGAGGTCAAGGTAAAATACACTTCAGATTATAACACTATACAATACTTTATAAAGAAATTAACCCAGTGAGAAGAAATGACTCAATACAATTGTCAAGCTTTTTCCTTTGAGGGCACTCTCCCTGTTTTCTCCTACAGCACTCATCGGATTGGATCATTAAAAAAGACAAAGCTATCACAAACTTTTTAAAAATAAAATACAACATATGTGCTTTTCAAGAAGTAATGTGTTTTGGTTAAATTGTGTATGAATAGATTCTGAGAAACAATTTACTTGGTATTTTTGGTTAAAACACAGTAAGAATTCTTGTGGTTTGCAGACTGGGATTCTTTTGAATGTTGGCTCACGGGGAGAAAAAAAAAGCCCTTTTTTGGTCTATTTTTTAAGAAAGAAGAAGTGCACTGTACTTTGTGAGTTTCTTTGTGCTCTTGAGAAACTGCTAACCTTACTCCCAAATTTAATAAGCTCGATAACACTTTTCATTTCGATCACAGAACTGAATCTGTCTTAAAGCAAGGTCACAGCAGAAAATACTCACGTAAGCCTTAAGATTAGATCTTTTCTCGGTGGTCACCTGGCAGTTTCTCTGAATTCTTAAAAGGGTTCAACAGGATATCCAGACACGTAACGGCAAGGATCTGGAGTAAATAGAAAATTCGGTTACAATGAAGGTGTGGTGTGAAAAAGGACTCGCTGTTCCGGGAAACGCAGGCAAAACAGCGGGGCCTGCAGGCATCTCCGGAAAGATCTCAGTTTGTGAGGCCAGTGACTGACAGGTAAGAAGAGGGAAAAGGAAGAAAAAAGGGCTTAAAGAGTAGCTCTGTTGCCCACAAACAAGAAGGAATGGTCAGAAAGAGAAAAAGAATCAAAGGGCAGTTCATCAGCAGAGACAAAACTGAGCTCTGAAAGCTCATTCTAAGCCCCTGGGATTCAGAACGCACGTTTTTCTCGTGAGTGGGGGCTGGTCCTCCCCCTCAGGTTGTCCCCTCTTTCCTTCTCAGCATGAAAGGAAGGCTGGCTCGTACCTGTCTGCAACCTGTTCCACGCGGCTGCCCCCCTCCTCCCGGACGGCGGGGCTGCCCCCCTTCACGCTTCGGCTGGAACCCAGTCAGGTGTCCCCTCCGACGCTGAGAGGTTTCCAGAGCCCCATCTGTCCCACTGCGCTGTTCTCTTCAGGGGTCGTGTCAGAGGGGTCAGGGACCGGCAGTATGGCCCATAGAGAATCAGTATTAATTTGTTAAACAAACATGTACTGCGTGTCTACAATGTGCTAGTACCATGCTAAGTGGTGGGGTTATATGAGGGGGGACCCAAAAGAAAGGATTTTTTAATTTAAAAAAGTGTGTTTATTCTCACAAGTTTAAAGTTGAGTCACCTTCACAGGACTCTCCATTTGATGCAATATACCTGTCGAGACGTTTTTCCCACTGCTCAAAACAGTTTCTGAACTCTTCCATTTGGATGCCTTCTAGTGCTTCTGCCATATTTTGTTTCACCTCTTCTAGATGGGCAAAATGTTTCCCTTTGAGGACTTTTTTCATTGGGGAAACAAACAAACAAAAAAGTCGCTTGGGTAAGATCCAGTGAATAGGGAGGGTGGGGCAAAAGGGTCATGCTGGTTTGGGTCAAAAACTGCTGAACCCTCAGCGTGGGGTGGGCAGGTGTGCTCATAAATCACCCACCACGAAACGGGCAAACGCCTTGAGTCTTCAAAAAAAAATTAACTGAAGCTGAATGCACCCTCTCACAACAATGCCAGGTGGTACACTGATACAGATGGGTTCCTAGAACACTCACCTAGTGCGGGGAGCTTGTAGTACAAGGGGCCCACCCTCCAGAAAATAATTCTGGGGGTTTTGGGGGTCCCCCCTTGTAAAGTCTAAATCCCAAATTGACAGCTCTGGCTGAAATTCAGGTTAACCTTTCACTGGCCATTCACATTCACTGTTATCAAATCACTTTAAATAAGCTTATCCAGAGAAATAATTAATGGTACTTTACAAAGCTCCACTTACAACGTAAGTCAGGTTGTTTCACAAGGGCTCTCAGTGCCGAGTCGGAAGTGAAGGCCAGGACTGACAAGCTACATGCGAGGACCATTCCCACAAGTGTGTCAACCAGTGACTTGATGACTGATAATATACCAAACACCCACCCTGCTCAACTCTACTCGTTTTCTGCAATTCTATAACACCAGCTTAGCCAAACTTCGTATCACAGAGCCACTTAATCAATTTCTTTAAACAAGTATTCTGATTCACCTAAAGCTTAGTGTTTTCCTTTCTTGTCCCGAGTCCTGGAGCTGGGTCTCCGTGACTAAAGCCTCTCTCTAACATACACTCTGGCTTTCATTGTCAATGTTAAAATAGTGGAGGGGGTTACTCTGAAGACAGCAGAGTTCACATTACGAAAGGGACAAGCTTTGCTTGCTCACATAGCTACATCACCCCCCAAGTAATTTTAATTTCCCCTAAGTCCACAGAAAGACATTACTTCTGCCATAACATTTTGATATGACTGGGCCCCGTAAGAAAATAAACTTGATCAAATTACAGATTTATGTGATTTCAAACAATATTATACAAATGCATTCAATCTGATTCCAAGAAACTTGCCAAGACAATGTCTAAGACCCAGATTAGATCTGGATCACTAGAAATCTGTTCATAGCTTCCTTAAGAAGTTATGGAAGTGAATAAAAATCAGGACACAAAGTAACTGTTGTCTAAGAGATCAAGAGGACTACAGATTTTTTAAATCAAGCTTTTTGAGACAATCAGAGATTCACATGCAGTTGTAACAACAGAAGTCCTGTGTACCTTTTACCTCGTTTCCCTGATGGTAACATCTTGCAAAACCATGGTACAAGACCACAACCCAGATGCTGACATTAATACAGTCAAGATACGGAGCATTTCTATGACCATGAGACCTCTCACATTGCCCGTTTACAGCCGCGCCCACTTCCCTCCCTCCCCTCCTCTTCACCCCGGAAACCACGGCTCTGTCTTCCATTGCTGGAACACTGTCATTTCTAACACACAAACGGAACCACACAGCATGGAACTTTTGGGGATTGCTTTTTATTTTTTCACTCAATATAATTCTCTTGAGATTGATCCAGGCTGTTTATATCAATAGTCTGTTTCTTTTTCATTGCTAAGTAGTATTCCGTGATAAAGAGGTACCACAGTTCGCTGAACTGTTCGCCTACTGAAGGACGTCTGGCTGTCTCCAGTTTCCATTACTATGACAAAGCTTCTAAACATTCAGGTACATATTTTTATGTGAACGTAAGTCTTCGTTTCTCTGGGACAACCACCCACGAGCAACTGCTGTGTTGTATGGTGGCCTAAAGATTTTGACAAAGATACTGTTGAGTTGGAAGGTGCCCACCCTCCCCATACAAAAAAAGGGAAAAATGTAAGATCTTCTTTGGAGTCATTTGTCTGCATGCCTGGAGGAACCAGGAGAGTGAGAGGCTATGGAAAAGCTCGTAGGCCCAAGCACGTACAAGGGCTCAGGTAGATGCCCTGGCATTCGCTGAAGGCGGGGGAGTAGTAAAAACCACTCCACAAGGAGAGTTAGACGCACTAACGTGTGAGTGTGGACAGGGAACTCGTATCTTTCAAGATTCACAGAGGGGGGTCTGTTCCCCGGTGAGTGATGCGAAAGCCACGCAGACTGACGGCTGCTTTCAGCGGTGGGGAGAGCAGGAGGGAGAGAGACGTGGTCCGGTCTGACTCTCCTGAGACGGCTCCTTCCAGGGGTGCACAGCACGCTCCAGAGGCGGTTTGTTCTACGGCCCGAGGCTGTAAAAAGAGTGGCTCCTCCATCCAGAACGTATCTGGAGCTGGAGAGCCTGAATCTGAAACCCACGTCAGCTACTTACTGTATGACTTAAGCACCCCAAAATAACAATCACTGCCCTCCCAAGACCGGATGCCACTCTAGGGACCAGTCAGTCCTCTGCTGTACTGAAGACAGCTGGCAGGGAGCACTGATCTGCTGGTAACTCAGCAGCTCCTGACAGTGAGTGACCTCTAGTGGGGAGAAACGACCTCCAGGAAAGAAGAGGAGAACTGGTTGCTGGCAGAGGGAAAACGGCCAGCAACAGTGGAGAGTAGGAATCAGCAAGCCCCAGAAAGCCCTTGGCTTGTGGCTTGTTTGTTAGGGCCTGGTTCCTAAGGGACAGTGCCTGCTGACTGTTCCAAAGGCCGACCCCCTGGGACTGTGAAAGGCGGGGCTTCAGTGGGCAGGCCTCAGAAGGCTGGTGCGGCCCGTGTCTAAACCCCTGGCCCTGCACTCGCACTTGGTGGCACTGCCTGAGAAGCTTCATGAGGACAGCCGGGGCAGTCACCCAAAACTCAGTTACAAGAGATCCTAACACTAAATAGTCCAACGCTGAAATGTCTCAATCCAAATAACAAAATACGGAGATTTTGGTGTAAGCTTGTGAGTCACTGACTTGATGAAAAGTTCTTGTTAATATTCTTTTTCTTTTATATTTTTCTCTTATGTCAATCTGCTTAACTTTTAGTATTCTTGATGGTTAAGAACTAATGGAAAAAACATGTCCTATTTCATCATATGTGTATTATAACTTTCAACTGGTCTTCTACACCCAGTATCACCAACTGGATATAATGTATCGATTCACTTTTCATTTTGAAAAGTCACTGGGAAAAGCACATTCCTGGGACAAATGGACGGACTACACTATGCCTACATAGCAACTTTAATCAGAGATCAGAACACCAGACACGTCAGCAAAATGCAAGGAGCACACGGCATACCTGAAGTGTGACATTATCACATCTGTCTCCTATATTTTCTAACGACAAAACAAAGTACCGACCTGAGAATGGTATACAGTATGTGAAACCTCCAAGTCAGGATTCTCTATACCTCACTTGGTCAATTTGTATCCCTTTAAAAGGGTACATTTATTTTAATATATAAAATACCTTCAAAGAACCATGAAATAAGAACTTCCAATGAAGTCATTAAATCCTAACTGCGAGCACTTTAAAATTACGGTTCTCAAAACCCAGGCACTGTGCAGATCCACAGATATCAGGCAAGGAAAAAGCCCCCATTTGTAAGAAATCTAGCTCTGAACAAATAAGAATCTGAACCATTTAAATTCTTCCCCAAACAGTAATAATGTATTTCTTCAGTCTGCTTATCTTCAGTGGTATGTTTCTCTAAAAGAGGGTCTTCATTTCCAAGGCTCAGAGAAGTTCCTGAGTCTCAGGCCACGGCGTTCAGTGGCGGAGTGCCCTTCGAATTTAGTCTCTATTTCCTATACGCCATGGGCCTCTATACAGTCAGCAAGATAATTCAGGAGAAAATGGCTCATACAAAGCTTTTCTGCTTGTTCAAAACTGTCTGCAGAACTCCCTGCCCAACCATGTCTCCAGAGGGCAAGAAGGGGTCTGACCTATGTGTCTGCCCTGTGCAAGGACACGGTGCCAGGGCAGCGTTTGTGAAAAGCCAGACGTAGGAAAATCCAGTAATTCTTTGCTGAATGTACACTCGATTAAGTTCACTGTAGCAGGATTTTAAAGTAACATCTTTTCTCATGGCTAGTTCTACAGTTCATTGTAAATTTAAGAAAATAAATATGAACAGAGAC